GAAGAATCAAAGACGTTCACTAGAGAAGGACCATTCTAATAATGCGATTCTATGGAAACCCGTAACGTCGATAGAATGCATGCGACAGTATGATGTGTATGGAGTAAAGGAAAGTGTATACAGTACTATCAGGAACTAGTCAATACTAATCGATACAGAAAGAAAATGCATGACTATACAGTAACTTATGAGTTCTATATACAATAAGAATCGATTAATTAGACTGGTTGAATCAGAATTAAATTCCTGCTATGTTGATCGTCCATCGACGTTGCCGGTGCCGTTGAACTTTTACTTTGATGTCGTACACCACTCATTTTCAATGGAAAATCGACAGTTTTCAAAGGCCCCAGGAGACGTTTGATTGTCTGTCGCATCAGAATACGGTAACGCTTCGATACGACACAGTACAGAGCGAAATTGAGTGAAGCATTCAGGAAAACCAACTGAAATACCGAGATAATGCGAAAATACTTGATTCTGAGGCCAACGGATAACTGAGGAGTTTGACTCTAACTAAATGTTATCAAAAGACGGTAACGAAGATCGCTATAGGGTCGAGCTTGACTTTTTCGGAAATCGGAAATCGGAACATACGTATGGGAACAGTGACTTGAGTGTAGGAGTTTGAACATACCCCCAATTACAAGTAGGTTTTTCCAGGTAGTTCTGGAGATTATGGTAGGTACTTCCAGAGGAGCTACTCGCGAAGCGAAAACTTGGGTAGGGGATGAAGGAAAACGAAGGAGTAAAAAAATAAAATTTGTTTACTTCCAGGTAAAAAAATTTGTTTACCTGTTGTGTAAGGCATGTATAAACGATGGCTCTGGCGTGATACTGCCCATATACATCAAATAGCAACCGAGCTGGTGCCTTAAAAGGTAAATATCATGCTCACACAGCCCTATCATCAAATAATCGTATATTTCCACAAATAAATAAAAAATCCTGAAAAATGCCGGGAACTGTGGCAAATTAAAGATGTCCGAAAATCGTTTTGAATAGGGAGGAGGGTGCTCATGGTGAATTTCTCTAACTTGGGAGATTCTGATGGGCTAAACCTATCGTAGGTGTGCCAAAAGGTTCAGCATCGGCATGAGCAGATGCCAAACCCTCCGTAAATACTCAGAGTGCTATGGGATTGATCGCTTTAGCCCTCAAAATTTACCAAAACAACAGCAGTACCGTACCTGTGGTCCTACACAGATCAGCAACATGAATACTACGGCAAACAGCATCGCATTCGGATTCAGTCGATAAGACGATATCTCCTAGAAAACCAAGCAAATCGATATACAACCGATCGATACCTCTATAACTCTCAAAATATACCTGAATAAGAGCCCCGTCGGCTAGCCGTGCGCATTCCTCTTCTTTTCGAGCATCTTCTGCTACTACTCGACGTAATGTGGATATGATCATGCAGTTCATTACCAGTAACGAAATGATCGGCAGTACATTGAAAGCCATTAGTGACACATAGTCCATGATTCGATAGTACAACTAAAAAGCTCGTTTTTCAGTTAATCCCGAGTAAAGCTGGTCTTTCAGAGGGATGGCATCACTACAGATTGCAGATTAACAAAATAGATTAGGACAATCACTGAGACGCCCTCCCTGGATGACCCATGTATCGAGCATTATTCTGTAATTGCAGAAGCGATTGGATGGGTTCTCGGATGCTGCAGTCAACCTCGGGGACCAGGCGGTATGCAGTCGCGCTGTTCTGCTTCGCTTGTCGTTTTCAACCTTGAATTCTATCCCAGCGAGATCTTTTCCGAATGAGATTTATTCAGGGCCCTTCACAAGCTGAAAAAAGTCTCATGGGTTGGACTGGATCCTATGTGACCCCAGTTGTTTGAGTGCGAGTTCTGCGTACAGCATGTCAGTTTGTGAAGATATCAAATTACAGCTGAGTTCAATCGGTTCGCACATTACGGAAACCGGTGGGCGAACAAAGCTACTCCTCCGTAACTGTCACAAAGAAAGGATGTAAGCGGAGGGATTCGACAAGTTCTACCAACACCCAAAGGGATGTCAAAAACATAGGTAACTAAAGGGACGAATAAGAGTTAAGCACAGTGGAAACGGTAACAAAAATTCAGTTAGAATTGAGTTCCTGCTACCGTTTAGAGAACATTCAGAGAACTAAAAGGTTCTTGATCGTCAATTAACTCTACAAATCAAAAATAGCTCGTATACGATTCTATCTAGAGAACCCTCTTCAGCTATCTCTTCTTCCGCCCTTCATCCTCTCCACCCAGTCGAAGAATCGTCGAAGAATTCTTTCGATCCTATCGGAACTTTTGAGGAAACTACATCACTAAGGGGGTTATGATTTGGAGAAAACAACAGTATGTCAAAGGGGTATCATGCTGAAACGCCACCTCACCCCCCTCNAAAGATAGTAGAAGGGATTCATAGGTATTGAGGGCCATAATCATGAACGTTTATTGAGAACCTACCCTTAAGGTTTCACTATCGGACAGCACAATGGCGTAGTAAAATTCTTGGCTCATATGCTCATAACAATGTCGAACTTCATATGCAAGTGGCCATTGGATTGAACATAGAAAAGACACGGCGAAGCTGAAATCATTGACTCAATCACTTATTCGAAAGCTCCTGTATGGAAGGAATCTTGTATATGGATCAAGCCGGAAAAATGCCCAGCAGAGATGGATTTCTCGAAATTGTGTCAACTACTAGTAACCCCTACGAGTGGAGTACATAAACCGTAAAGAACCTTGTGCGGTTAGCTGATGAGTCCATTCCTCTTGGAAGTGACTTGAACAGCTCGGGAGTCTCACCAACATCGGTTTGGTCGCCTCCCTAGCCCTCAAAAAATTGCAACCCAATTTCAGCCAGTAAGGGGAACTAAGCCTTGAGGGACCTTTTTTGAAATGGTGACTGATCTCCGGGACGACGTTTACCGTTGTTCTATCCGCCCTGCTGTTGATAACTTTGTTAGAGGCAATGAAGTGGTCATCGGATGTAATTCTGGTAATATATTATAACTGTAGCTCTATCTGGAACTTTCTCAGCTCCTAATAAAGTGCAGTATTGATCGAGTAATCAATCAATTATTGATCCAAGGAATGATCACTTACCAAGCCGCTACGGCAATACGTGATGTCCTCCCGGTGCAAATTCTATGACAATTGAATGGATGCAGCACGCAGATGTATCGTTCCACGTTGAAGGCCACAACAATTCTGGAAAATAATTTTTAACAATTTCAACTTCCACTGGCAGAGGTCGGACAATGTTCGGTGCTTTTTGTGCATTGGTGCATTTTCGAAGTCAGGAAAGGCCTGATCGGATTCAGATTTTTTCCTCAAAAGCGAGTGTAATTTGAATGCATGGCATATCCAAAAAGAGAATAATCAAAAAACATCCATCTTCCTTAACTATCCATTTTGCTGAGAAGGCTTTCCTATTTCCTGTACCCTTCAACCCACTGGGGAACGTTCAATTTTGTTCTGAAGGTAATATATTTGCACAACTACTCTCATAACTTCCTTTTCCATAGAAATCAGCCGTGTAATAAATAAATAAATAAGTAGGATCTAGTGAGCACCTCTCATACAGAGAGAAGTTAATTCTGAAACACTTACAGCACGCTACTTTTGTAGAACGTTGATGCCATTGTACGGATATACAGAACGATGTGGTAATAGAAATAGTTGAAGTACGGTGAAAAAGCCAACGACGGGACACTCGACGGTACAACATCGAGAGTGGCGAAAACCAAAAACAGGCAATCGCAAATGGCCAGAGCCAACAGTAGGGTCCTGAAAAGTTTTTACTGAGATTTTCATAAAAACGGCAACCCAGCCCGGGTGAATGATAGCCTAACTGCTCGGGGAACATGTGGTAAATGATTAGATCGGGGAATCATCGGTTGGATGCTGAGTTATGGACCAGACCCGCTCCGGGCGAGACTCGAACCCTAACCTGTTGCTTACTGCCCCGTAGCTCCAGGGCCCTGATCAATGCGATCAATAATCGATTCACATACCAACTGGGTATCCGCCGTGCTCCTTTGTTACTTGTCAATATAGCGATATTCAACAGATTACATCCTAGACCAATTGTTGCTATCATCGGTAAACATACGACATTCGTCCACCATATAATATCGACCGAGTCCTGTAAATCAATAATCGATCGACTGTGACAAATGTTTCTCATTTGTGATGATTCTATGGAATTCAAATGGCACGTGCTGGACTTTTCTATCATATCTACATATCAGTGATATAAATAGCATGTCATTGTCAGCTAACACATCGTGGGAACACATCTTCAACTTTGCCCGAGTTCATTTTTTAAAAAAATCAACTGATACAGCACAATTGGAAAATGGAAGCTTGGTTATGTTGCAAAATGCGCCACTAGGCCACGAATAACTCAGTCTGCAATCAGAGATCGAATTTTATCCGATCAAAGCAAGGTTATCAATTTTCGAATTCCGCTGGCCACTCAATACACGGCACCCTCGAAGATGGGAATGGCTGAAGTCGAACTCATCTCTACCCAAGCCAAAACTGCATATGACCCCTTTCTGTGCAGGCCAGAATAAGCCAGACTAGTCTGAGAGTATGAACGCCCTTAGTTGTGGGCGGGTAGCTGCCGCACATGTCGAATACGTATTCAAACGTCATTACGAATCTGATTGGAAGCCAAATGCTGCGCGCATTTCCAAATGGAATTTTCTAATTCATAAATTTTGTCATTTTCGTCATCCGATCTACGTAGTAACCTTCAGAAGAGAAGGCATTACGTCAAGAAATTTGAAGAAATCTGACACCTTCTGACCAATTTGGAGCGGCGGAAGGATTGACCATCCTCAGCCTGATCGGATCGAGAATCCGATGAATTCAGACTGTCTGCGCTACTTGCTCCCCCACCACCCCTACATTCTGAGCGGATGGCAGAGTTAAACTTTACTGTTCGTTTCTTTTCTAGCAGAATACTAAGCGGAAAGGAATGAAGCATCGTTCCGTCTGCATTGGAAAGTTTCCTGTTTGTTCAGCGTCATGCTCTTAATTGTCAGCGCTTTG